AGGATAACCGGTGGAGGGATAGCCCGGTGCAGGAGGGTAACCATGACCGGGAGGTGGATAGCCTGGGGCAGGAGGATAACCATGTCCAGGCTGTGGATAGTAAGGCTGAGGATAACCAGTGGCTGGAGGGTAACCAGCATAGGGAGGGACCGGTTGATCAATGCGAGACATTTGCTGAGCCGGTGGTACTGACAATGGTTGAGAACTAAGCACACCATCTCTTTTGTCCATTTCAATCTTGTGTTGTGTCTGCATACACGCGCAGACCCTGCAAAAATCAAGATCATAGTACAAAATCAACTATGATAATGATGCATAAGTAAATATACAATAGCTAATATTATTGTTATGAGTCTTTTCGCGAAATTCGATGTAGCCAAAACGAACCAGCGGGTTATGAAGATTATACGTACGTGCAATAGACCATATCAGCCAAGCAAGAAAGAAGCTGAGAAGCTTCAGAGAGTTCATCACTTCCTACAATACAAGCGACAAGAGAGAAAATGCAAGCGATTTGGTTGAGACAAAACATAAATCCCTGCAAAACGACGTTATACGATAGATAAATGTTAGTACACACAAATATGTATTCTCCGAAAAGTGAAGACAATAGAGAGAGAAATGTAGAGAATATACAATTATGCAATTGTCACATTTTGTTGTATGAATGTTGAATTCATCTTGCAACATAAACCGAGTAGATGCCACAGAGTTTCCAAAACAGAGACACACCTGAAAGGTTAATTCCTCAACAATGGCAGCATCACAAAATCATCAAAGAACATGTTTTAAATTTGACAATTCGCCATAGCAAATCAGATAACATTAAAGGGTTTTACCTCAGTAGCAAGACAAAACTGAGGGCATTTGCTTTCTCCACACCTACCACTACAAGGCATATAACCACCACAACAAGTGTACCTTCACAAATACAAAACAACAAAATAGCATTTAAGAGAAAAAACAAATCATTGCAAAATCTGCTCATTGTTAATTTCTACAGAAAGTAGGATTCAGTACCTTGACATGTCATTGTAAAGTGCTCTCTTTCGAAGTAAGTATGAAACACAAGGTCCACTACAATCAAAAATAAATGGCAGATTATTAGATATGAACCAAGAACATACAATCAACATCACCAATGGTTCCCATCTACTAGAAGTAACAATTTCAGCATTTCATT